GTGTAGCACATAAAGAGATGTAGAAATATTGTCTTCGCACTAACAAAAAACCCAGACATCAGATGAATGTAATACAAATATCTGGGAAAAATAAAGCTTGAAGTCAATTCTCCTATATAACTTTGTTGTGAACAGCACCCTTGGCTTAAAGTTTATTGATGTATCGGATGGCTTCTTCAAAATGAGAATAAACAAAAACTATAAATAAACAAAAACTAAAAATAAAAAAATAATGAAAAAAGAAATATTAGTTGAAAATTGCCTAGAGCAGAAGTTTAGACGCAAACTCCCGAATGAAAGTAAATGGTATGAGTCCGCTACTTCAGAAGGACACCGAACAAAAACATGGCATCAATCCATGAAATCCTTGACAGTTAAACTGAGTCAGGTAGGGAGATGCAGACTCCCGGGTTGGGCCTCGGGACTCTAGGAATCATGGCTGGATAGGTGACATGGCTCAAAATCGTTGTCATGGCGCAGATGTATTTCTCTATAATCTTTCATATTCCTTTCTACCATTACCCATTCTGTTTCACTCCTATATTTATCAAACTCTATTAATTCTCTCCACTCATCTTCTTGTCTACCTCGTGTGCTATTTGGAAGGTGGCAACTCGAACTGCTGCACTTCGGTGCCAAGTTTATGTTGAATCCAGACAGAGCAGAACTGTATACTTCAGAAAAACATATATTACTAGGCCCTCGCTTTTCTTTTACATAGCTCACGCACTCTGACTTTTGTGTTTTGCTCCTTTTAAACCTCGTAAGTAGGTGAGATTATCACCTGTCTTTCACTTTAAACTAATTGTTCGCAGAAAAGACTGTAAAATATCGGGAAAATAATATTTCCTGAGAAAAAACAAACAATTAAAAACGATGAACCCCATGCCTGTTATATATTTTGAGTTATTAACACCTTTTAAATACTGAAGGTGCAGATCTGCACCTGTCTGCTGGTTTTCTTGTGTCTTCTTCTCTTTTCAAACATACTGCTTTCTCTACTTATTCGTGATATTGCTAGCTCATCTGGTAAATAACGGGATCATCGGTATTATAAAATCTGCTGACAAGTCCAAAGCGGGTCTCATAAACAACTGGAAATGTCACAAATATGATGTACTTACAGGTGAATTTAAAGTCTAATAGACTTTAAAACTCTTTCTGAATGATTTACTGATAATTATTGTTTATTCTGCATCTCTTATGTATCACGTCAGCACCTGTACAGAAATGCTACTTACCTTCCCAACTAACGCAATTATTTATGATTCCCGCGTGAAATTGACATGTATTTTTTTCAATCACTGTTTAGATTTGACGCTATATCTATTTCCTTAATTGTACATTCCATTTTACATGTTTCTCTCACATTTACCAGTATTCAACTTATTTCTAAATTAACAAATCATATTATATATTCTATAAGTTCTAATTAGTGTACGTATGTTCATGCCTGTAAAAATGGCTGATTTCTGTTACAGAAATAAAAATTATTATTATGTTGAGATCAGTGATATATTTATTCCATTTTTTCATTAGTCTTATCGTAGTTTTATAACAGGAAAGAAATTTGATCGTGAATACGAAAACTAGATAAGGTCATGTTGGGCTGTTTTACTGCATCAAGTGGTGCCGAGGTCGATTCCAGAATTCTCTATTTGCTCCATTTGTGTCTGCATGGCGGACTGTATTCGGCGCTGGTTTGACCGCTGGATTTTAACATCACTACTTCTATATCTGTAAAAGTCAACATAGCTGGTGATCTATTTGAATGTATTCGTCATGGGAACTAACAGTTTCGCTTTACGAGCGTGTCTGCTACATGCAGCTGAAGTTATCGGAATCCACCAGAAGAAGACGAACTTGTGCTCAGAAGATGTATGTGCAGCCACCTTCCTTACATTAGCCACTGTTGAGTGAATGTAAAAACCTACTCCCGAAAACTTTGCGAGTTACCATTGTCGGAACGATTCCATTTTTCTCACTGCTTCATATGGGGTCAGCTTAAACACACGTTTACTACTATTTTTCCAGGACTATGCACTGTCCGATCCACTTGTCATAATTATTTACATATTTTATCATTTTCATATTAATTTTCTTAATAATTATCACCACTCTCCTGACACGAGATTTGGAGCAGTTACCTCTAGCAAACTTATCGCTCCCACATTGGTATAGTTTTTGTATTATATCAAAAATGCTACATATAATAATAATGATTTACTTTATTCCAAAACAGCACTTGTGATACAGAATGGAATTTTCAGCATTAATCACAATATTGCATCTAATTTCCTCAAATTATAAATAAAAATTAATCACACAGAAAATTTTCCACATTTACAGTAGAGGTAGTGTCAAAAACATGCAGCATATAAAATGGAAATAATAATAATAGTGATAACAGCTAGGGTAATAATAATAAGAAGACAAGTGAAAATTACCGTGAGCTTGTTTCACACAGTATTGTCAATGTGGTATAGGAATCCTAACATGTTTAAAAATATTGAATATAATGTTCTCTTTACATGATATTATTTACATGATATATTAAAAAGAGTTGGAGATGAGGATCCAATTGACAAATAAATATTTCTTCGCCCAGTCGTTTTGTCTTCTGAAAGATGATGCATCATAAGAATGCACGGCCCGCTGTTTAACACGGCAGACTTCTTTTGAAAATTCATTGATCTTGAAATATAACAAGAATAATTTGCTGGTTTTTGTTGACATTTATTCGCATGGCTTAGAACATGAAAGGTTAATGTTTTTGTCTACACTCTTTGTAGTCCTAGGCGGTACAATTAATAGGGCTTCATGAGAGCTAGCACATTCGCAGTTTGCAATTGCTTCTAACTTGAATAAGCTGAACATTCGTGGTCCTCCTATTACAATACCACAATCTGATGTTCGATGCAAAAGTGAATGGATTTCACTATATGAATAAATTTACACATAAAATCACAAAGATAGATATTTCACATACCAGGTCTAACATAGTTTTGTGATGCTTATGAACTAAAGGTATTAAGGAAACCGGTTATCAGTCCTGCCCAATGTTAACATTGTTGTGTAGTGAATCTCTCAACTTTGAATAGTGACAAGCATTGTCTGTCCCCTAGGATGATTAACGTTATTTAGTAGTCTTAATGGAGATTCTAATCTGAGAATGCGGACGATTAGCAACCGTCCCTTTTATAGAAGGGATTACCTTAATTGCCTACCGACAACATGTATTATCAGAGAAGACGGCTTTCAGCTCCGAATGTTTATTTCTGAAAGCGTAGTTGCGGGCAACTGAGGCGTAGAAACCTAGTAAAACGTAGAGGTGAGTATTCATCGTTTGGTATTGTCCATAGGTAAAGAGGGCCTTACATAAAGTTAAGAAGACAAAATTCATAACTGTTTATTTGTCTCGCCTTTCTAAATTCCTTAATCATCGGCTGCCTCTTGGTAGATACAGGATGCTGGATAGCTACTCATCTCATTGGTTTTGGTGCATTTGTTCACTCCATGCCACGAATGCAAACATGGGCGTCATTTCTAGGAGTATTGAAGAATTAAAGCCGAAAACGCCATTGTGGGGAAAGGCGCAACACTAACTGCTGCCAACCCGTTTTGGTCACAAGCAACGTAGTGGGAGTGGGAATTGATACAAACGTTACTTACAAACCGACTTCACCGTTAATATGCACAATCCTACAAGCTTTACACAGAAAATGGTATCCTGAAGCAATGGAGTGTAACTGTCATCTTCTAGGAGAATACAAGCATCCAAGGACTGGCAGACTGCCTTGTTTTCACTGAATCGTCCGTGTGCGTCAGTAGCAGTGCACCGTTGTGTTTGACTACCTGAAGCCAAACATTCCTTCCATCGAGTTTAGTAGGCTGTACAATTAAATTAGAAGATGTCTTAGTGGAAACAAAAAAACTCCAGTTAGAAGAACAATGTTTTGGGGCTAGAGTAGATTTTCCAAAGTGAATCTAAAGCTATTATGGAAATGCTGGACATAATCCTGCCCCAAGAATACCCATGTCTGTGTTGTCTTCCTTGGCTTCACACATGCACTTGACTATTTTTAACGTTGCATTCTGCGTCGTAAGTAGATCACTCAAGTATTGGCAGCCCACTCCTCTCGGAGTTCGCGAATTACCTAGACGCTCTTGGTGTTCACTACTCACTTAACATGAATTTCAAAATATCCAGCTTTACTCCGTGTAGACCGAATAAAGGCTTGAAGAGTAATAGGGTGTCTGAGGGAAATGTGAGGGCTGCAGATAGACTTGCAGACTTTGGTATGCTGAATATAAGTTACAAAAGACCTTACCAATCCCAAAAGAAACAGACCACTCCTAGTGTACTGACTACGACGAGAAGGAATGACTTACTTCCATGTGGTTATAGCTATTTCTGTGTAGCTTACAGTGAGATTCAATCTCATTTTACACAGAACTTTGGTACAAGTCCAGGCTTTTCGGGTGTTACAGCTGGGACACATGTTAATTCCTTTTCGCAAATATAGCCTTTCCTCAGGGTTTACAAAACTTATGGGCAAGACTACAACGTGACGCATAACATTATCTATCCGCTGCTTCCTGGTGCAATTGAAAGGGAGTAGAGCGCAAAGAGGCTTTGAGAGCGAACCGGACAACGAAAGGATAAGGAAAATAAGCATTGAAACCGTCAGATACCATGGGATCAGGAGAAACTTAACCACCGTTTCAAGATCAGAAATGGTTTCAATCAACATAAGTGATTCTCTCACCTTAAGCTGTCTCACACCAATCTCCGATGGATATGTTATGTTTTGGCTAATCTCAAGCATGGTCCCACTTTTTCTGACTTCCAGTCCTACACCTCTGAACTAACTCTTTAGCATACCCAGCAGCCACATGGTTGTTTTGCCTCACTGTGTCTATTTAGCACTTTATCCCTTAACATACCACAACCTATCCTTCAGAAATAACCAACAATCTGCTCCCATCGGCGTGTACATGCGCTACATCAGCTGAGTAGTGGAAAGGAAAACGCAGAAAACCACTGACGATGGAGTCCATTTTGGTTCATAGTAGTTACTGAAACGTTGTACATTAGATGCTGAGATGTGTCCTAGAAGTGCCGTGAAATATTAAATTTGACCTTGACTGGTTAGCATACCGTGCTGTTGCGTGTTGGATACCGCCTTTCACTGGGGTATAATGCGACTGCACCCTCTTCGTTTGGTTCGCTCATCTTTGCTATGTTTTCTAATTCTATTTTGCTTGGTTGGTCTTTACCACAAGTTTGCTGGAAATCACCTTTCTAAATCAGAAAATCAGAATGCTAATGAATTGTTATCATTAAACAAACAGTACAAATTAGCCGAGCGAATTGACTGGGAGAACTACACTTTTTCTGCAATAGAGAGATCGAGACGAGGTCCTGGGGAAAATGGGATGGCTGTTCGGCTGTCTTCTGAAGAAAAGGAGATGTCAGTTAGGACCCAAAATAAGAATGGTTTCAGTATATATGTCAGCCAAAAAATTAAGGTAGACAGATCCATTAAAGACATTCGGCATCCTAAATGTATAGGAACTTTGTACTCAAGTGTCCTTCCTCAAGCGTCGGTAATAATTCCTGTTTTTAATGAACATTGGGAAACTCTCCTACGAACTATTTCATCGGTCAGAAATCGAGCACCTTCATCATTATTAAAAGAAATTATTCTGGTTGATGATGGGAGTTCGCGGGAATATTTAAAGGACAAACTTGACAACTTTCTTGCATCTGCCTATCCTGATGGTAAAGTTCGTGCAATTCATTTGAAGAAACGGGAAGGTCTTATTCGAGCCAAGTTGGCTGGTGCCAAGGAAGCTACTGGGGACGTATTGATATTCCTAGATTCTCATTGTGAGGCTAGTACCAACTGGCTTCCACCCCTACTGGATCCAATTGCCGAGAACTATAGAACCGTTGTATGCCCGTTTATTGATGTTATAGATGCTGATAACTTTGAATATCGCGCACAAGACGAAGGTGCCCGTGGGGCATTTGATTGGGAGTTATATTATAAGAGACTTCCGCGCCTACCAGAGGATAGAAATCATCCCGAAAAACCTTTTGACAGCCCAGTAATGGCAGGAGGTTTGTTTGCAATTAGTGCCAAATGGTTTTGGGAGCTAGGAGGTTATGATCCTGGTCTGGTTATTTGGGGTGGGGAACAATATGAGCTGTCGTTCAAGATTTGGATGTGCGGAGGACGTATGATTGATGCCCCATGTTCAAGAATAGGTCACATTTATCGTAAGTACCAAACTGACTTCCCCAAAGCAGATTTGGGAAATTTTGTTACTCGAAATCATAAGTAAGTTTTGCCTGCTTTACGTATTAGTTATTTCCTTAAAAAATGTACCAAACTGTCTTAGTTTGGGTTTGCTAGTGAATTAATACGCTTGTTGGTGTTGAGTGCCAATGTGTCAACTTCTGGTCTAAGAAGATGCTGAGGTATATGGTTCTAATAAAGGCACTCTGCTTGAACACAGCCATTTAACTGCTTATTGATATTTTTCATCTTAAGTGGTGGTAACCAATGATGTCAATCAGGGATGCCAAATATCTCCATTTTTATTTAACTTAACATGTATGGTACCTGATATATGCCTGATGGTCTTTGGCGACTTAGAGATTGATTACATACCACAAAGCAGTCTGGCCGATCTACAATATACAAATGACGTACTTCTAGGTCAAAGTACTGTCTTTTCAACAGAATCCGGAGTATATTTAATGTAGTATGACGCTACGTGACTGGTCTGCACCACTTCGTAGATTAACAATGAGGAGTAAAGTGATTCTGTTGGCTACTTTATTTGCAGCTTGGATGCAAAAGGCTCGTGTGACATTTGCCAACTTAGGTTATCTGCCTTAAACATAGTATCCGCTTGTCAATTACAGAACTGACTTAGTTTTACCATAGAAGCTAACCCAGAAGTGCAGCAGTTTAAATTATCTCACTCCATATAGCGCACATGTAGAGAAAAGACTTCTAAAACAGCCATAGTGAGCAGAAATATCAATGAGAAAGAATAGTAATATGAAAAGACACGGCAGTTTAGTGGATATGGTAGATCACGAGGAATGAATGCATCTACTTCATTAAGAACGATTTTGATTTATAGAACCAACAATCTGTAGCCATTGGTTCTTGGCATCTCAGAGACCCCAGTCAGGCCTTCTATAACTCCTTAGGTAATTCAAGCCAGCAGTCAGGAACTCCATGGATTGATGCGTATTTTGATTTGATGCACCCACTTCAATGAACTCCCAAATCCAATAATTCCTCAATATTCTCAACGTAGCTATTTTTCTTCCGTTAATTTCCACTAAATCCATATGGGTTGGGATTTGTTAAACATGAAATTATCAGCCAACAGTCACTTGTTTCAGATGTTTTCATAGACTAATTTTGGTAGATTAGTTAACCTGGCTTTAAAATAACCCTCAGAACGAATTCTACTTAAGTAGATTTGTCAAGCTATATTATAATTACTTTCAGCATAAACCTATAGGAAATGAAGACTATCAAACTAGCAGTATATGTCTACATTGAAATGTAACTATGTAAAATGTTTATGCCACTAAACCGATTCTCCTTTTACTTTCAAATGGCTTTTGAATACCACCACCTTCGGAATCTAAATAAAGTACAATCATTTCGATTCTGTTGCTAGGGCCACCTGTTTCCAGCTACAGTGGGAACTTTTTCCGTTTGCTGCACCATACATTTTAACTTAGCATTATCAACTGTAAAAATCTGTGCCTGTTCCTCTACCTCAGTACAGTCGAGTAAGAAGTATTAGTGGTGTTAAACCATATTTCAAACCGGAAAATCTAATTGATTTTTACACTAGTGATGCATTGAAGGTTCGGCCTACTAGCTGAAGTACTTAGCTTTCAATCAATGGCTTTTGACTTCAAATCCCGGCCACCGACTCTGACTTGGGCGAGCAGTGCAGCTTGGCTAACCAGTCTTTATTGTCATATATGTTATGATATAACGAAAAGGCTCGGGTCAAAGTCGTACTGACTTCTGTACAATTGTATGACGGTAGTAAGGTGGTCCCATCTTTCGTCACTCGGAGTACAAATGGTTACAACAACAGTCCCCCATAGTCCTGCTTCTCCCCCTCTGTGTTTTATAAATACATTTATAACTCTACTAGGATTAACAGCTTTAAAAAGATCACATATAACTAACCTCAAATGAGCATCTCGTTGACCTGCAAGGTTTAAAATACTAACTGTTCACTTGCTTCAAACGACACAAAACTCATCTGTGCATAATAATTAAAACAGTTATTTCTACCTGTGTAAATTTTTCTACTTATTGTGCTTTATCTTTGTTTTTCATCAATTAGGCAGCGCACGAATGTATACGATTATATAGGCTACTAAATTACGGATTCAAACAGCACTATAGGGGTCTAGTGATTGGTATCTAAATCGGATTGTATATTGAGTACCTGTTTTGGATGACATTGGTATCGACTTAGGTTAACCATACATATTTATTACTTCTAGTCAGTGCCTGTACCGATGTACAATACCAACATTTGTGCAAAGTTCTATGTCGAAAATAGACAGACAGACAGACAATACCAACTAGCACAAAACCTAGGTCCAAGGCTTCCTGCCGATTACCTCCAACCATCTAATATCATAAATCAACTCTGTCAAGCTTAGATTAATATTCTTCAGGAATTTCGCTAACAAACAAACCAAATTAATTCTGCACTGTCTGCTGACAGTAAAACGCCTACTTCACTCTTCCTCTATTGTTTCTCCTATGATTTTTAATTCTAGAATAGTTTTTTTGACCTGGTAAAACAGTAAAATAATGTAGACAGTCTTAATTCAATTGGACTGTTCCTAATGGGGGAATACATAAGAATTTAGATATTACATATATCATGTATCCTATCCTTTTAGTGTTATTAATTTCTTTTTAGGCGTGTTGCAGAAGTTTGGATGGATGAATACAAAGAGTATGTGTATAGAAGGCAACCGTATTATCGTAATGTAGATACTGGTGATTTATCTGCACAACATGAACTCCGAAAGCGACTTCAATGCAAGTCTTTCAAGTGGTTTATTACAGAAATCGCATTTGATTTGATAAAAAAATATCCTCTTATTGAGCCAGTACCATTGGCTGTTGGAGAAATACGGTCTGTTGCTGATCCGTCTTTATGTTTGGATGCATTGGGAGCAACTGAAAATGTTCCAGTTAGATTACGCCCTTGCATCAAAGATAGGCGTGGTTCAAACGGTGTTCAAAACTTTGCGTACAATTACCATGAAGATATTCGTATCATGAACAAGTTAGTTCAAATCCTTAGTTTTGATGTTTTGATTTAATTTCTATAAGGGTGTAGTATGACAGAGTAATTTGTCATATCATCATTTTCATAAGAGTTGTAGTCCTTTTCATTTCCTTTATTTCACGGATATTACACTTTGACGGACAGATTGAGCTATCGTATGTGAAAACTTAGAGATTTACTAGCATGAGGGAATAAATGGACTGATCGACTTTTACTGTGTAAAGATCAGTGTCACACTTTCTTGAAGTGTTGCAATTTCTGTGCACGTTCTATGTTGAAGTATCAGTCATCTGACACACCATCACTTATTCACATATCTCTAGATGGTCCATCACTGGGAATGACAGTAGGTCCAAAGCATAATGCAGCAGTTGTATCTGAAACATTTGTAAAATACAGTAAGTAAATGCCAGCATCGGAAACTGATTGTATATTATTCGTTTAGCTGTTTGACTGAATAATTGTAGAACATTGTTGAAATAACACAAAATTCTAGTTATTTCTGACATCGATAAATAGCAGTGATTAACCAAACATAAAGATGTTACATTTTTCAGTAGTTTGATGAAAATCGGTTTAATTGACGTATTTGAAAGTGGAATGAAGCCCATTGATTCCACATATCATCCTTTCTCAAATGAGTTGTAGCACCCAGATTCCAGTGATTTTCAAACTACATAACTAAATATTCCAATCAATAAAAGTGGTAAAGGTAGTACTCAGTGATCGTGCGTTGCGGTTATCTTCATTGTATCTGTGGTTTAGATATTCTCTGGTTCGAGTAACTTTCCACCTACTATTCGAGCTAATTTGTTCTGGTCATTTGAAGTTTACGAAACTCAACATATTTCCCCTACTGTTCACAGTTGAATATTTGGAAAATTTGAAACACGGAACTGAAATATGGTAGAGTTAGGATAATTCGAACCATTATGTTTGAATCTAATGACCCTAAGAAGCAATACAAGTAATCAGTCATCCAAGGGTGTGGATTTAAGGTACGCCTTGCTGATGAGTGCAAGTAAGCAGGAAGCCGAAATCCAAAGCTTCCTGCCAATTGCCTCTAATCATCTAATGATAGGTTAACTGAAGTGATTTTTACGAACCAAAGTTAACTTGCGCATCGATTCAATGGTTATGACTTCTAACTGATTTTTATGATGTTATCTTCGAATTTCGTGCCTATAGTTTCCGTCAACTTTATTGATTGATTTATTTGTTTTAAATACTTCAATCACTTAAGATATGTCTTGTAATATTGATTCTAGTATGTATATCACAGCTGCACAATAAATACCATTTCCAAACGAAAATGTGTTCATATTCTGTAAGAAACCTCTTGTTAATGGCTTAATGCACAAGTGATCCCGACTCTGGTATACTCATGTTGCTCATTGCTTCTGTGATCTGCTTATGAGGTGTCTTGTACTATTACTTAGTTGCTTTTTGTTTCACCCCATTTTCCTCTTGCATATATGTCGGTGCGTATGAATATTAGCGTGCTATTGTTTGGCTTACGTTGTATACATGCACATGTATGTGCATAATCGCTATCAGTATTCCGTGTACTGACATCTTTTCAAATAATTTCACTATGCTACTGATAACTGAATTCTTCGCTTTATTTCTTTTCGTTGGATTTTTTTGGAAAGTGTAAAATTTCCAAGGCCTAAAATATACTCATACACACTATCATTAAAAAGATAGACTCGGTCAACATTTATTCCTACTTTCTATAGTTTGGTTTGTAAGGATCAGTTATGTTTTACGAGTTGATCACCGGAAGGTCCCGGGTTCGATTCCCAGTGGGTGCGTACTGCCGATGATTCCCAAACTAGGATGAAACAGCAGCTGTCCATTACTCCCTGGTTTTCAATGGTTCTCTAACTGATATCAATCCGTGATCAACTCGTAAAACATAACTAATCCTTACAAACCAAATTTATTCCTACCTTTGATAATTTTCTTCTCAGTGTGTGTGTGTGTGCTATTGCTAAGTGTAACAGATTGAAATATCGCTCTAACTCTACTTAGCTGGACAATATTCTACAAGTTTGTCCTAGTCAAAGTCTTTTACACTGTTGGTGAATATTTGCTATAATTTCCAAATATCTTTTACAAATAGTCTTGCATTTCTTAACATTGTGATTATGTAAAGACAATTTTTTGTATCAGCATTCAAATTACAAACTGCACTGCGCATGTAGCGGTTTTATGCACACTTTGAAGCTTGAAAGAAGCCTGTATTTTTGTAGAATATGTGTATCATGAACTCAACTTTAAAGGTAAATCGACGAGAGGCATTTTCACTAATGAGCTGTGTGACTTGTCTGTTAATCTACCCAGATGAAAACTAATCCTGTGCGATAGGGGTTGACAGATGAAAGTATTATGTAGTCGTTTAGTTACGAATACACAATATGGTCCATGAAATAACTGATGCGAATTGGCTGTGGTCTACTTTATTTTGGTGTTGCCTTCTGCTGTCTAGATCAGTTACATAGTTTCCTATTTATGTTGTATAATTACTGTCTACAAGTGTGTCTTTATTATATTCTCTTCTCGATGGTCTACACTCTTTTCATTCGGTTGGAAATATGCATTAAGATGTCTTTTGATAATCGTTTTCAGTCGAAATCTATTATTTAGCAGACAAAATAAATACCCAAAGAACTTCATCAGTAAAATCAACACCGATATTGAATATGGTCGAAAACGTATTCCGAAAACTTGGGCCTCAACAGTTATCATTCCATATGGACCAGAGACGTAGGGCGATATCAGCAGTTTTCTTCAAAACATCAGACACGCTGCAAAGCAATCTTGTCCATATAAAAGACAAAATCCCTAAAAATTCTCTATCTAACCGTGTCTATAAAATAAAATGCTGGGTATGTGATGCCACATATATCGGACAAACATCGCGGAAAATCAAAATCAGAAGAAATGAACACCGTTGAGCATCTATCTGACCAACCAGAAACCCAGGTGAACTAGAAAAGCTTGAAAAAATCATCAGCTGTAGGTCTACACTCTATAGAATCAGGTCACAAAATTGATTTTGACAATAATGAGATACGTTTTTAATGAAGATGTGATAAGATTAAGGGATGATAAAAGAGGGGTTAAAAATAAAAGTAAGGGGTGGTGTAGAAATCATCAGTTGGTTGTCTTAATAGGTCAAGACAGGGATAATGACTGTACGAACTTCTTTTGAATGCATAGTTTAGGTTTAATAGTTCGAGCTATTAGACCTAAATAATGAGATAATCCAGAAAAAATTCAAAAATTACAAATAACGTCTAATATCAGAAGCACTTCATATCAAATGAAATCCAAATTGTCTGATTAGGAATGATGGACCCCTTCCCCCATGAAATGAAACAATCAACACGAATGTGATAAGAAATTTCATTGTGTAAACACGCTGCTTTCGTAATTTTATCCACTTATCAAATCCAATAATATACACCTGGTTTCGTTATCTTTATCAATCTCAGCCAACTTGACAACTCAAACCAAAACTATAGAAAATTAATCTGATGCTCGCTAGTGACTTGCTGCAGGATGGAGTTTTAGTGAGAAGTCGTGACCAGTGAAGTCCAATTAGATGTCACGTGTGTGGATGGATGTCCCACCAACGACAGTGGTTGGGGTTGCGCTAAAATCACGAATTGGTAGAAGTTAGAATTCATGAGCCATTGAATCGAGTTCCAGTGGCTTAATGGTCTACGAGCTTGCCTTGTAACCAGGTGCTGGGTTAGAACCCCCTGTAGTGGGTACGTACTGATGAAAAGTCCCAATTTGGGACAAAACAGCGGTCCAGTACTCCCTGTCGGTTTTCCAATGGTTTTCTAACCTATGTCAGCTAATGATGAAATCCTGTAACCAAACTGTTTAAATGAATCAAATATTTTGCAACTTTTTTCTAACTGGCTATTATTTATAGACGTTTCTTCATGATATCATAAATTGCTTGATTGTTTTCATGTCTGGATTTCAACGTCATCAGGCGTTGTCATTAAAATTCTTTTACAACCTCTGAAAGCTAGCACTATGTTTCGCGATTTGAAACCGATTAGGCTATGTTTGAATTCGACGTCGCTTGAGAATTAAAGACTAAATCTGTCTTTAGTTGCCGATGGATACTGCTCCGTGAGTATCCATTTTACCATCGTATAAATTTTTATTTGCAGATTCATATGCAAAGCATATGTTCTTTTTACTTGATATAAACGGGTTGACAATGTTTTCCACACCTTGACTTTCTAGAAACATCAGTAACTAAACTGATTGTGAAGAATCCTTTATTCTCCGATATTATTCCAGTTGAAAAACTAATGGAATGCATGGTTGAACAGTTCAAATGTTCGAGTAAGAAATCATCCTTTTACGGACCACGTGTTTAGTATCTGCTGATTTTGATTAATAAGAAGGTCAAGTTATATCAGGTGAAAATGATTCTCGCATTCACTTGTCTATGAAGGTAAAATAAACAAGTGCTAATATCTTTTTCTTGACCAGTGCCTGCAATTATTATCTTTGTCTGTGTAACTTAAATTTTTATAGTAAGGATGTATATTTACTTATTAGTGTAGTTAATCAACTTCCCTAAATGTGGAATATAAATTAAAATATGAAATGAAACACGACGTATTCAATCAATCAGATATCGCGTTATATACCTTGTTCTTCAACTTGAACGCATTCATACCGTTGGCTTAACAGGAGTGATTTCTACTGTTTCTAATTTTCTTTCTTATTCATGATAAAAGTTGTATTAACACTTTGTACTATATTTTGTATTTCAGAAAATCCTGTCTGGATGTGCCTAATGTTAAAGACAAGGCTTCCATAGTTTTATATCCATGTCATGAAATGCATGGCAACCAACATTGGAAAATTAAGCCTACCAATGGGAATAAACAGAATCCTATAAACTTAATCCATCCAGAGTCTCAATACTGTTTAGATTCTCATCCAAAGGAATTAATGGTTTATGTCTCTCGATGCGACTACAGCTCACCTACTCAAAGTTGGAATTGGGAGACAATCCAGTTTGACGTCGCCGAGAAATCGTTGAAAGAGGCTGGATTGTAGTGAGATTAAAAAAATATTTAGACTTCTTATATGGACCAGATTCCCTACACACCCTTCTCCCGAACTCTGTGATATGTGTATGCCCAACATATTTTGCTTTTCTTCTCTGACTTTTTTCTTAAATTTTATGGGAGTATTTTGGAATAAATATTTTATCAAAGTAGAATTTCTATCTCGTCGAATATTACTATACGTTAGGCAGAACACACAAGCTGTTTCCGTGCTAAACAATTAAACATTTGCATAGTGAATACCGTTACATCCACTGTAATAACTATACAATATATGTTGAAGAAAAACGCGTAATAATATTATGGACCAACCTAGGAAACCACTCATCAGTTTTACGTTTTAAAATCGAAATTCAGTCATCGAAATTACCTATTCTACGCTTCTATGCGTAACACAGAATATTCAAATTCGGTGTTACGATTGAAATCAACTAAAACGTTTAAATATCCCCTCACTTGCAAATGGTTATGCTTAATTTTCTGTCAATGTTTTGACTTGAAGAGACACATACATCTTTGAGGCGATATCAGAGCTACATACTTTCACTTATTACCAGTGAAACAAAGAAACTCAAAGGTAAAACGTGTAAGTCTACAAAGTATGAATCCACGCTTGCGCTTCCACACATACAAGTGAAGAACTACAGGAATATATCATCCGAAAGAGAGAAGTATTAGAAAAACACACAAATGATTGAAGCAAAGTTCACATCGTCTCACTCATTATTAAAAATATCGAAAGGGGTTTCCAGCTAGTTCTCACGCATCAATAGTAGTTCAAAGTATCCCATCGAATTACGTTAAAACAAGACTATACACTGAAGAACTTCACTCAACAAGACAACAATGGAACGCAAGCTAGAAAGCGATATTATTGAATGAGAAGAATTCTTGTAATCGCTTATAAATCTAAGGTCAAACAGGCTTAAGGTGGTAAATGTATGTATAAGATTTTAATCCCACTCAGGCAGTGAATGAATATCAAGTTGTTGGACTTCAAATATCGTGTAAATAAATAAGCCAGAGAAAGATGACAGACAGAATGAACAAGATCATTCCGCTTTACTCCTTATCCTCAACTGTGAACGAGGGGAAAATTGTAAACAACTGAAACCATTGAAATAGTCATTTTGTAATGAAATTAAGCCAACACATAGAATGCACGTAATAGGTGTAAGAGACGAGATGAAACGATTCGAGGAGATTGTAAGAAGCACAAACAGATTTAGCTGGAATTTTCATGTAGTTTGGATGGTTGTTTCAAATAACCGACTGTTCGTTTCAATGAAAACACTGATAGATTTATCGCCTAAACACCTCTAAATTAATATGCCCCTGTGCGTTGTACATTCCACTTAACTGCTATATCCATTACACCAACACGGTATTTCACTAGCCACAATTTGAAACAACATTTCTGTTAGTTATATGATGGTGCATTCACATCATAGCCAATGCCGTCTCTCAATTCGCCTCTCAGTCTTGCTCAGCCTCATCATGATCTTGACTACAAAAGTGAGATCTAGGAGATACAATTTTCCATCAGTCCGATCCATTCGCTTCAACTGTTTTGTGTATGTTTCTGTCGTGAGATTTGGCATAAAGTATAGTATAGTATAGTTGTGATGTCTTCGACAGAAGTCACATCAACCTACTGACAGTCGACAAGTCGAGAGAAACCAGGGAGGTGAGAAATTCACGTGTGGATTTCACGAAAATGACAAGACAATAAAAATTTCAGAAAGACGTAGTATAAGAATAAGTTGGACGAGTTCTCTTCAATATATGCGTAAAGTTCTCCGTATTCGCTTAGTGTTGAGTTAATCCAATCGATGGACAATTAATTCTTCACTGATTCTCAACGACGCTTTCTTTGAACGAATAGTTGTCTTCTCAGAGGAGAAACTCGTCATTGATGTGTATTTACTGTGAGAATATTTGTAAACACGTTTGACAGTGTCCCACTGAGTGGACTGTCTTCTGCTTGTGTATATATATTCATAAAATTGACTGTTCTTTGGAGATAGTCACAAAAATGAACTGTTGATTTATATGACTATAGACATAGATAGACATATAGATGTTGACATTCACTGAAAAGTGGTCACTCATGGGACAACCAACTTTTGTTTTCATCAATATGAGTGAAAATCAAGAATGGAATTTCGTTAGAAACAATTCTCTGCACTAAGTTATGATGTTAATTCTACAATACAAATGGCCGTCGAAAAAAGGTACTCTGATGCATTTATCTTCTCTGCCGTGTCCGCACTCCATCTATGAACATCTGCATAAATCGTTTCATGTGAATTATACAAATTACTTTAAATATTTCATACTCATATTTATATAGGTTTCACATCGTATTTACACATTTACAATTCACTCATTCTCTCTCTCATCCTAACCCTCGTTTGTTTTTCAAATCGATAGCAGTAGAAATGAATCACCGATTCTTATATGTGTGTATACTCATTGATTGTCAACAATGTGTGTTTGATATTCACCAAAATCTTTTAACTTCTGTCGTGAATACAGGGTGTGTTACGTGTAATTTACCTTCAACTAACTAAATACGGATTCAGTGTTGCAGAATACCTCAAGCTGATGTTGGGTTTAACTTCTGTGCGGTGAGCTATCTATCGAACAATGCAGATTATCGATCCGAATTCTTTGATAGTAAACATATATATATATATAATTCCAAAGGATCAGTTACTTAAAAATAAATAAATAAAAGGACCGTGATGTCACAGTTTATCGATTGAACCATTTAATTCGGTTTTATGTCACAGTACTTTTTTGTGATATCTTAAACTAGAATGAAATTAGTTTGTTAAGAATGTACTTCTTAAAGTAAACAGAAACTAGTTATGATTTAATGCTATTTTATCTCCAAATATTGCTTAGTAAGTGATCTTGATCATATTATTTAACCTACAGAAAGTAGATATAATCTCAGATTAAATACATGATACATGACACAAACACTGGAACTCTGAGAGTAAGGTCTTGGTAAATTGCTTCCTAGCCTAGTTTCCATAGTCCTACAATATGATGTAAAAAATAATATGATCGTGCAAAATGCATTTGATTTCACAGTTATGATTGGAACAATTGCATATCATCGGAAGCGGCATGACACAAAAAAAATTCCGGGGA